GGACCCCAAGATGATGTAAGTTGCCCATTTTGATAAAGACAGGCATCCTTCTGAACGAAAGGGCTCACAATCCTGAGTGTCCATGTGTGACTGCAGGCCTCCACAACACACCATGCTCAGGAGAAAACCCAGCACATGAAGCCCTGCTCCCAGTGAAACCTGCCAGCCTGTTTTGTTGTCCTCTTGCCTTTTTCCTCTCCCTCCTCCTCCATTCCATTTCCTTTTCCTGTGTGCTTACATGGCAGCCCCTGCACATGAAAATCAGTAAATCAAACCATTTACAGAGCATTATTTCCATGTTATCTCTGTTCTGCAAAACATTTCCTGCTTTCCTGTCTGCAGCTTTTCTCTAAGGTGCCCCTCGGTGCTGGGGTCACCCACGGGCACTGCCAGCTCTGTGACATCCTCCCCAGCAGGGCACCAGCTTCCTAAAGCCACCCACCTCTGGGGCTTTGGTGCAGCTCTGCAAGGGGGACAGCTGGGGTCTTTGCCATGGAGAGCTGGCAGCGAGGATCCCTGACCACAGCAGGAGGGGCTGATGCAATGTAAACACCAAATCCCTTTGAATCCCTGCTACACCAGCCTGGCTGCAGAGCAAACTGAAGCAAGCTAAAGAGGGAACAATGGTCAAAAATATCTGGACTTACGGCAGAGTGTTTGAGTGAGATTTGGTTTATCTGAACCCCAGGTTTGTCCAAGGCACTGCTGTGTATGTCAATTCCTTGTTCTTCAGCCACTCCACTCCCTCGGGATTTGGAATGGGAGGATGAATTTTATTACTTTGTTTCCACGGTTGACACAGTTTTTGTATTAACCCGAGATTTAATATCCAAAAATATAAGAGCCCTGCAGTAGCACAGAGCTCGGGGTAGCCACATTAGCTGTTTGCACGAGATCCAAAATCAGATGAGCTCCTCTCTGATCTGTGAGGTTTAAACCAATTTCAGGTCTTGGCCCAGCACTGCCACTGCTCTGAGTTTGTAAAAAAAATTCTAAACGAGTATTGTCTGAACCGCACCCTTTTCCTCCTCATGCTTAACAACTGTAACCTTTCTACCCCTGTGGGTGTTAGAGTTTCTCAGTATAAGAAAAGAAAGCCAGACATATCTGTCACAAGGCTGCACGTGCGGCGTGAGCGGCACAGCCGAGCCCGGCGCAGCGTGCCAGGTACTGGTGGGTGCCTGATAACTCATTATGTTTTCAGTTTCCTTTTATTCTGACAGCTGGAGCTGAACAAAAGGACAAAGTGGATGGGCTGGGATGCTTGGGAACACACACGTCCAGAGACTGAATTCAGAGTTTGGAGCCAAATTCCCTGAGCTGCAGCAGCACATCGTGTCTCAGCCTTGGCCACACCACTGGCAGCAGGGTGACCCAAAGAAGCTGTCAGATATAACCCCACTCATCCCAAGGACCCTAAGGCACAGACTGGCACCTCTCCACTCTTACCACTCAGAGGGTAAAGCTGTTGCTGTCCCAGACAAGTGAGTGGTGCCAGAGGTCTCTCAGAAGCTCTGTGTGACAGCCAGCTGTGCCAGCGAGCTCCTGACAGGGACCATATCAACCCCAGTGTGTGACAGGGTAGGACTGTCACACACAGACAGAGCTTTTCAGAGGGAGAGACCTTTCCTTGATGAGGGCATAATCAGTCACATTCAACTTAGTGGATTTCCACCCCTGAGGCACACAGTACATCACCACACCAGTGAAAAAGGAGAACTGCCAAATTTCTACACACCACTCACCAAACCAGGCAAACTTAAAGCAGGAGGGCTTTCCAACACTGATATGAAATGCAAGCAGCACTTATGCTGCCTGACTAAGCAGCAGGAATCTGACTGTGTCAACCTGCCCGTCACATGTAGGAAAGCCACTGAATCAAAAATCTTAGCAACTGACAGCCCCATGTTGTTAATTTCCAGCAGCAGGACTTGCATTCCCTGCAGACTGCATGCAATGGATTGGTGTGCATGATCAGACAGAAATCCTTGCAAGCTCTGTGCTGGGCTCAGCTCAGTGGTTTTGCCACTCAGCTGGCCTGGCTGCCAGAGCAGCACGTGCATGCACCTCGTGTAAAAAAACCACTGCAGGTAGAAGGAAGTGGCTGTGAGGAAGCTGAGCTTCAGTTTAATAAAATTTAACACATCCTGTGGGAGATCTAACCTGTGGTTGAACCTGATACAGACTGAAAAAAGCACCATCTTTTGTCCCTGTCCCAGACTAACAGCATCACAGACAGCCCAAGTCTGAGATTCTTGCTAGACAAGCTACTGAGATTCTGTGCTAGGCACAGCTGTGGATCACACTTGTGCAGGGGCACTCATACAGTTCTTTAGCCACAGGAGCACAGAGCAGAATTCAGCGCTTCTTAACCCCTGGACTCTGCTGTCCTAGAGACTCTTGGGCACTTTCCTGCCTTGCTTACAATTAAGAAAGTCTCTTTTGCCATCCTGTATATTCTGCACTCGTCAGACAGGTCTGCAGCTCTGTTCCCATTCAGTGCACTGCCTGCTAACAGGAGAAGAGACAGACATTTGGCTGTTTCCTTCTGAGACCTGTACTTCAAGATACTGTTTTCATTTCCTCACTTCCCATGCTGCAAATTTAAAGCCATATTCTATAATTTTCAAAAAAAAATGAACCTTGGTTACCTACAAAAAAAGATGCACAACTGTACAAAATTATCTTTCTGGATAATTTTTTGCAATATATAACCACAACCCTGTATTCAGTTGCAGGTGGAGAAAGGAGAGGCAGATGATCTGACATTTCCTCCATTTATACGTTCTTGTTGGTCACAACCAAGGGAAGATAACATTAACACAGAGCATTTCATACACAGTGGAACAGAGAAATATCTCACCTCTTGATAGTTTCTAAATGAAAGAAAAGGGGAGTGAACAGCTCAAGCCTAAATGTCTTTCAGACACATTGGATCCCATCAGTTCTCCACAGTATTTCTGTTCACTGATCAGTGGTGCATAAGCAATTTCTCTGTCACAGTGCTGTGAAAATAATTTTTAAAAAACTCTGTGTTATATAGAACTGAGTTAAAACAGGGCTAGACCCTTTTCTCTCTTATTGTTTGGACAGTCACTGTACCTCAGCAGGAAAATGATAAAGAGTGCATTGAAAACATCACTTACACAGTTTACCTTGCTTGAACGTGCTACCTTAAAGGCAACTAGCTAAATAGCACCCAGAAATTAAATTGCAGAAAGAAATATTCTCAAAATGCCCAATCTGAACTCACTGAGGTTAAAAGAAACATTTCCATTTAGTTCAGTTGGATTTGGCCAGAGAGTTTCTGCACTCTGCTTTAAATGGCTCTTCATCTGATCTTTTTTTACTGACTAGGTGAGACATCAGTACAATGCAGCTCAGACCAAAATTTATATTGCTGTACTGTTTGTATTATCTCTACCAAAACCAGAGTAAACTTACTTGACATGTTTGTTTTGGTCTAGCCACCCACAGAAGGTCTACCTTGGTGTTCATCTCCAGTCACAGAAGATCTTATCAAAAGTTTTTGAAAGCATCTTCCAATATGAAATCTTGCATCAGTCTCCATCTTGCAGGGGAATGGTTGTGGGTGATGTCAGTTGAGGCTGTACTACTGAGAGAAGCATGAAGAAGATAAATAGCAATATTTTTCAAGTCTGACTGGAAGATTCAAGGGCACAGAGATGGGTCATCTTTCATTTCCCTACGGAGGACCATGCAATTTTCAAAGTGTCATCATTAAATCCAGCTGGAAAATGCAAATGTGTCTCTGACTCTCCTAAACCAAACATCAGGGAGAAAACAAGCAGGCAGGTATTTGACCCCACAGCTGATTGCAGCCAGATGGGAACCGTGAGCTGGTACATCACAAATACCACAGAGGAGCCCCTGGTCTCTGTGAAAACTCCAGTTCTTCAGGTCTGAGAGCACTCTGCTCTTTTCTATCCCACATGTCTGAATGAAAGACAAATACAGAGACAATCCAGCTGCAGTCATCTCAGAAACATAATTCCTTCGTTGTGTTTTCCTTTGGGTTTGATTTCTACACAGAGAAGGAACAACATGAAATCACACATTTGAGGCAGTGCACAGAGACAGGTTCCAGCAATATGTCCAGTCAAGCTGAACTGGTACAGACAGAAATTTCACCTCTTCTCCTCCGCAGATGGAAACCAGCTTCAGCCTCTTTTTTCTGGTTCTTGAGAATAAATTGCTCTTTACAGAAAGACCCATCCCCAGAAACATTCTCCAGAACCAAAGTAACTTTTTTATACCAGAATGAAAGTGCATACCAAACATTTCTTTAATTTTCAGAAGAAATGTTTCACTTCCAGTACAGATACCAAAAGTAAATTCAGTTCTCTGCTTGCCTTAGGTTGCCACCCTACAGATCCTTCCTGTCCCACCTTAGCCCTCAGCAGTCTGCAAGCACTGACAGACCCTCGTGGGGTCCTGTGAGCACCTCACTCAAAGTGGCACTGGTAGGAGTTGATGGAAAAGTTGCCTGAAAACTTGATAAATCTGGTCATAACTGGCTTTGACTGAGTGACACACAGCATCTGCAAAAACACATGGAACAGGTTCTCACAAACAAGGTCTACGCTGGCAATGTAACATTGGGATCTTCTTCCTCCTTCACATAAAGCCTGAACTAGGGCACTTGGTAAAGATCATATGCTCCTTCTTAACATTGCTCTTCACTATTAAGAAACTCCCGCAACTCAATTCTTCTTCTAGAAGGTGTTTAAAGCACCATCAAATCTTCTTTAGCATTCTCAGCCTTCTCTATCCCAGCTGGCACCAGAATAAGCTCTCCCTCCGATCACCACGCCCTTTATTGGGCTCTAATACTGTTTCCCGTTTTTCAATACCCAGCCAATTCACACATATTCAGGTGAGTTCATTCCCAGAGTGGGAATTTCCTCCACTGTAGGAATCAGCATCTCCTGCAGGTGCTCTGCCCCTGAGGAGCCACAGGGCTTGGGGCAGTTCATCAGTCCCTTGTCACCCTGGGGCATGTTTGCAGTGATTTAGGTGCACGTCCAGAACAGGAACCCAAAAAAGAGCCTGGCAGTCACCAAAGCAACCTCCCACCCGCTGCACAACCTCCCACACTTGTGCAATTCTGTACAAGTGACAGAATTTGACAGCAAACTCTTAATTTTTAAGGCTGCTTCTCCTCCTAGGTGCACTGCTGGCACTGGGCAGCCGCTGCTTTCTGTGCACGCCCAACTAGAAGTGACACACTTTTGGGGACTCTGATGAAGCTGTGCCCACAGAACCTCTTTTAGCTCACAGCACTTAGGACTGCACGTGGCATCGTCAGCTACTTCCTGCAGCTCTGTCAGAGCAGCCTCCGAGCACGGCACGAGCTGGAGCACTCCAACCTCTCCTCTGCAAAAACCAGGGGAAAAAAAGGAAAGAAAAAAGGTAAGTGTTCCATCTCTGAGCCAAGGCATTGCTTCTATTTGGCAGCGTTTCCCTTTGTTCTGTTTTGGCCTCTGTTTCTCCATGCCGTGTGTCTGTGCTCAAGAAATGCAGATTGTGTTGAAGCCTCACCAGAGTCTAAGTCTCCTTGTGACTGATGTAGTTACTGGGTCTGTATTAATTAATTGCAGTTGATGCAGCCCCTCCTGCCTGTCTTCCTTGTGAATTCTCTTTCCTATAAAAACATATTTCTCTTAGAAATCAACTTTAGTTCCAGTCAGGGATAGATGATTACTAGGACTGAAGGATTTTGGAAGAATAGAGGTTGCTGTGAGGTGAGCTTTAGCTGTTACTGCAGTGCATGAGCCATGAATACAGAATTATAATAGAAATACGAATGCTGGGGGTTTTTTCAGGAGAATTCACATCCAGCCTTTCCTCTCATCCTTACTCTGCTGGAAAAGCAAGGCAGGTATTTAATTGTCAAGTTTACCTGCTGGTCTATAAAGACTAATTGGATACACTACATTCCTTCTTTTTCTTCACCTTTTATTCACACAGCACTGCTGATATCTGGCGCTCAGGGATGTGGAGACTAACTGGAGTTTAAATTAACTTTTTTTTGTCAAATATTTTCAGAGTTGACAACTTTTCCAAAGACCAAAGAGCATCTGGGTTTATTTTAAACCTGTCCTTCTCATAGTCCCATTTAGATCTGCTACTGTATCTAAACCAGCAGCTCTTTAACTTCCAGCAACTTCGTTGTGGGGAAGAGAGGTGTAGGGGGGAAACAGAAAAAAAAACCAAAAGAAAGCAAAAAACCACAAACCCCACCCCCCCCCCCAAAAAAAAAAAAAAAACCCAACCAAAAAACAACAAAAACAAAACAAAACAAACAAAAAAAAAATCCAATTTATTCCGCTCATTAGTACACAATGGGCAAGACTGATTTTCTTCTCAGAATTTTTCCAAAGTTCTCTGCACAGGACACTCTATTTAACGAAATGTAAAGTTTGAATTGGGCACCCCCTCTGTACAGATTTCTACCTGAAAGTGCAGACAGCTCTTTCAGGTTCAGCATTTCCCAAGCCTCCTGGGAGACACTGATCTTCCAGCCTCGCCACGATCACACAAATAATTTTGCTGTCAAGTGTCAGAATGCTTTGGGAAATGTCTGCTAACTGGGATTTTTACATCAATAACTTCCAGGAGAGACCCTAAGTGTGCCAACAAAGAATGAGGTAGGCGTATAAAGAGGCAGAAGAGATCAGAGATGAGGATGAGGATTCAGACAAAACACCACAGATTCAGCAGAAGTGAGTGTGCTCACAAAGATGTCAGAGGTGTGTGTACATGCAAAGAGGAATCTTTGAGCGCCACAGGTTTTCTGGTATCACTGAAGTCTTAAGGGGAAAGCCCTGCTGTTGGTATGGTAAGGTAGCTACAGGAGGTGACCTAGATGTCAAAAAGGAAAATGGAAGTTCTCCAATTAGTGGAGAGCAAATCAGAGGACAAAAAGGAACAAAGAAATTGTGTTTCACAGTAAATGGAGAAGGAGGAAATATTTGTTTCTAAGTTCAGAGCACTGTTAAATACCATTTGTAGGCACTGTTAAAAATAGGATTGTTTCAAGTAAAAAAGGCATCGTGGTTTTTGCAAGGCTTTACAAACCCTATTGCTCAAAGACATCTACTTTAGACAAAAGTAAAACAATTCTGAGATTAAACTAGCTAGACTAGTCAGTAGCAGCCATTATGTCAGTGAGCCCAGGTCTAACAGATCATTAAATTATTTTGGGCAACTCTTTGCTCTGTTTTTCCCCAGCACCATCTTTAGTACTGATGGGGATGCACCACAGCAGCTTCCATGCAGACCCACGAGGGCAGGGCCAGGATTCCTATCAGGGAGAGATATCACAGGGTCAAAGCTCAACAGTATCTTCACATTTTCCTCCTCCTGGAAAGAGAAGCCATCCTGTCTGTGCTCACTCTTTGCAGCACAGATAAGCCATGCTCTGACTGGGGGATTGGACAGGGATGAAAGAGACAAACACACCCTGGGGATGAAGAAAGAGCCTGTGATCCCTGTGGCTGCAATGATTGCAGTGAAGGTGTCAGTGTAGGAAAGAGGGGACACTTGTGGATTTGGGAGTTTGATCAGATGTGCTTGGTTATGAATATGCTCAGCAACTCCACCTGAACAGTTTCTACCCCAGAGATGATTTTGAGTCACAGTAGGTTGGGGTGGACATGGCCTTTCTATGGACTGGGCCTTTCTATGCCTCTAAGTGTGTTTGAAGGCCTGGAGGCTAAGAATAAGGAGGATGATATCCATAAGGGGATAAATCCTAAAATCTAAAGGATAACAGAGCACCACTTTTTAAGGGGAACAGTGGTGGGTTTGGACATAGGTCTTGGTGCTTCTTTGTTCAGCTGCTTGAAGTCAGATTTTCCTTAAACCTGGTAATAAAACACATCCATCTCTAACTGTGTCAGCATAGCCAGACCTCCTCACCTTGTTAAAACATCCTTCTCTGATATCTCAGCCTGTTCTCCAACATCCCAGACTGTTCTTTTAGTAATCCAGAGCAGTATACATCCACTTCTATACCCTTAGTGCCAAATCTGCTGGTATTTGCCTGTGCTTCAGCATCCTTGAGCACTCTGATGCAGGAGAGAGGAATGGCAATCACCACTCTCATCCACTTTTTCTAACACTCTGTAGTTTCAGCGCAAGCCAGCAGGAAAGTTTGGTCAGCTGGGTTTCCAGATGGGCCCCTTCTTTAACAAAAGCTGTATAAAATTAGCCCAAATGACAAGGTCACTAATTAAGATGCAGCGGCTTTCGGGAGTCACGGAGTGCTTGGTGGTTTCAGGTGTGGTGAGGTGTGAAGCAGAGCTGCTCTCACTTGCTCACTTTCACTGATGCTGCTCCAACACCTACACTCACCTCAGCCTTTTGGCTTGACAGGCTTTACAGTTTAGCCCCAAATTTATGACAGCTTTTCTGGGCTTCCTGATGCTTCTCCTGGCCATGGATCCATTCCTCTGGCTCTAGGATCTTTTCCACACAAGCTGGTGGGTACCAGGGAATAAACCTTCCCTGCAATAGCTGCACTCTGATGCTCTCAGGGAGGACTGAGAAACTTTGCTAGGTCTGAAGTCCCAAAATCCTGACTCATAGCCTTTGAATCATGAGACCAAAGCCCCCTGGTACAGGTGGATTTTGGGGTCTATTTTTCACCTGTGAACTTCCCCTACCTACAATGTTTAAGGAGTTTTACCTGCTTTTATATACATTGAATAACGTGGCCTTAAACCCAGTACAAGCATCTTTTGTCAACATTTCTCCCCCACCCAGCAGACATTCTTCTCTCCTGTGCAGTCCCTCTCCAGGTAGCATGGCACTAGGACACCCAGATTAAGGAAGGATCACGCTTTAAAACTGGGCCTTTGTCAAACCTGGATTATGCCAGCTCCCCTTCGTAATACCACAGCTGCTCATTTTAGCAAATTTAACACATTTAGTACTACTGTGGGATTTCTAGATTGTGGAAAGGGGGAAGTGGATGTATGGATTTATGTAAAAACCTGCACTTAGGTATTTAAAAATCTATCGTCATTGAGAGTTCACATCTATGAACAGTGTTATCTTGAGGTAAATCAAGTATCTTTCCCTCCTCAGGAAAGATTGCTGAGCTGCTCCCCTCCTGAAAGGCAATTGATTAATAACTTCTCTCTTCTACCATGTATCTTCTTTATTATCTTCTTTATTTTTATATTTATTATTATCTTTATTTTAATATCTTTTTAAGACTGCTTATATCTGCATTACATCTCATATCTGCAATATAGAATTAAATATAAAGGCTGTATAACTAATCCCAGGGTCTTGCTGCTTTCAGCCTACAAATGCTGAAACTTGTTTTAACCAGCACTAGCCAAGAGAGGGGTTATCTGCTCCACCAGTGGAAGAAAGATATTTTAGGGCAGAGTTGTGCTCAGGCTGGATTCCCAGGATAGCTTTAAAACACATTTTTTTCTAAACAGAGTTTTGAAACTATATAGTGCCAAGATTATATATTCGTATATTATTTTCAAATTTGAAACAAAGTTGCTTGAAAATACATGGGTTTATGTTCAAATTTCAAATTGTACAGCTTCAAATCCCGCTGTGTTGTATGTGTCAGTAAAAATGATTGCTCTGATGGGCAACCAAGTGGAGCCATGACTGTTTCTCCTTTTTATGCTGAGATTTGCTTATAGGAATGACTTAATTTACTAATTTCTTTATTAATAATGGAAAAAAATAAAGCAGTTCACTGACTTGCTGGGCATGTGGGCCACGATCTGTTTCTATTCAAAGACACCACAAACACTTTTCCTTCTTTCAAGAACAGCAGAGCAAATAGCACAGCAATTTCTCAGTTTCAAGTTAAGAGACACAAAGGTTTATCAGTTGATAATTTACAGGCAATTATTGTAAGTTCTGCATGAGGAGAAGCCCAGGTTCAGACACTGGAAGGGTGACACTGCTGGTGACAAGCACTGTAGGTGGCATAAATGTCACATCTGGGAGCTGATGTGTTTCAATATAGATTTGAGTGTCCAACTGACTTCCTGCTGGCACCCTCGTGTCAAACCCTTCCAGCACCACATTCTACCAAGGAAAGCACACAGAATCCCCAGGAGAAACTCAGGGCCTCTTCCACTGAAGGCTCATTTATGCTTTGAGGCACTCAGGTTGTTTTCCTCTACAGATACTGGGGGACAGGAAGGAAAGTGTGAAGGGAAAGTTTGTTTTCATTTTAACCACCATAGCAGTTATTTCACATTGTTCCTAATATCCACATAAATGCCTCAAAACTTTAGGCTGTAACAATAATCCCTGGAAGAGATGGATGATCAGAAAAAATATTAGAAAATAAAAAATATATTAATGTGCTTTGCTCATGTAATTGTATTCATGTTATGGATTTTACTGTGTCTTTTTTTTTTCTTCTGTTCCTGTGTATCTCAGGTGAGTTACTCCAAAGACTTTCAACCATTCTCTGTCCAACTATTGTGCTTTTTTTGACTTACCCTTCTCTGCCTTGTAACCATAACTGTAATTTTCTTTTTTTTTTTCTTTTTCTAATAATGGCTATTTTTATCACTCCAACTTCTCCTTTGGAAACTCAAAGAGTTTCACATAAGCGATTCATACACAAACAACAGAAAAGAAAAAAAAAGACAAAGTAAAGCCTTTTGCTTTCCTGCTTGTTTTCATTTCCCTTCTTTTACACTTCAGTGTTACTGAAAAGACTTTTCTTGAGAAAAGATTAATGCAACTGGCCAAAATGAGCAGCAGGAGCCACTGCATTTTAGGAGTATGAAATGTAATTATCTAAATGTCTAACACCATGGACACAGCATAAGAAAATTAGAAGAGTGTAAATACAGAGGAGGCATGCAGCAAATCTTAGTACATTACCCCATCTTCCAGTGATTTGTGCTCAGGTGCTTTGTGACCTCTCAAATATATTAATATTTGCTCAGGTGCTTTGTTATCTCTCAGTCCTGGAAGATGAGATGTTTTGCACACCTTGAAGGTGAGAATCATGCACATGACAACTGTGGTATGTCTCATGCAGTGACTCTCACATAGAAAGAAGCCTCAGAGTGCTGACAAAAATACATTGAGCTCCTGATGCAAAACACAGCTGCTGTAACACCTATGACTTGGGAGACCTAGCAGACCAGGAGAGGCCACAAAAAGGTGAAAACAGCTACTGTGGAGAGGCTTGCTCAACTGAAGGATACAGGGCAGCAAAGATAACTCACTCTGAGCTCCTGATGCGAAACACAGCTGCTGTGACACCTATGACTTGGGGAGACCTAGCAGACCAGGAGAGGCCACAGAAAGGTGAAAACAGCTACTGTGGAGAGGCTTGCTCAACTGAAGGATACAGGGCAGCAAAGATAACTCACTGGAAAAGTTTGTATCACACAAATGCCTTCTTGGATATTGTTCATTCCTGCCATCATCACTACGTTTTATCCTTTATAAATGCTTGAAAATTGGTGGGTGTGATAAATCTCTTGAGTTCTGGTGTTCAAACCAAAACTGATCACCACAAATATTAATAGAAAATGGTGCGTAGTTTTTTTCACTGGTGTAATTATTACTGGATTTCATTTGAATTAATACTTGAGATGCAGGTTAGCCTCGACATCCCAGAGGAAGACAAAAATGGGAATCGTCTGGGCTGAGAAAAGCATCAAACTATTAAACTCTAAAGGTCTGATAGGAATGTCTTTCAATTGAAGAGGGCTGTAGAGGCACAGAGAAGTTGACTTTAGTCACAGGGTGGAAGATGTTCCTTCCTTCCTGTAGTAACACAAGGTGTTACTTCCTTCCCCTTAAGGGTGTGTCAACACAAGAGAAAACGTCACCAGGATAAATGTCATAAATTGTCTGCTGAGTGCTGCTTTGTGATCTTCAGTTTGAGGAGGAAACCTCTCTGCAGGCCTGGAGAACTGAGTGGAGGCAAGTGAAGCTGTGAACTGGAGGTGGATGCAGTGGCCAGTGGAAGAAGACTCTTCCCTGGACAGGGCTGAGAGGCTGGAGAAGGTGAGGAGTGGAGCAAATGGGTGGCCTCCTCTCCTCCTTCCTTATATTGGGCTGGGACTTAGAGCACTTCTCCTCCAAAGCTCCAAAGCTGACAGGTCAAAGCTTCAGGACAGTCCTTCAGCACCCAATTTTCTTTTGAAGTGCAGGTCCATGCCCATGGCTGCACTTTGTCAGCTGAGGCATCGTGCTTGGCACTGACAGCCACTTACATGTGAAGGTCTCTTCATCTCAGCCCCAGCCCTGTGGCTTAGTCCATATGCCAAACACCAAGGAAAAATGCCTGCTCCAGGCAGGTAGCTTAGAAAGTCACAGGCATCTCCTTCCCGAGGCTCCCTCATGGGTGCTGAGCATGGGAAGGAGACTTGGAGCAAAAGTGGGAAGGGAAGAGGCAAGACAAACAAACAAACAAGCATCGGGAGCATGTATCCCAGAACCCTTCCACTGTTTACTGCCCTGCACCATCACTGACTGCTCTGGGGGAAGCCCTACAGAAAGGAGAATATTCAGACAAGCACAGGAAGATCAGAAGTGAGCAAAGGCAGGAAGAGGGAAGGAGAGAGCACCCTCAACCACTCCTGAAGGTGTTTTTATGGAGGTGTGTGGGGTAGACAAGCTGATGAGTAACTGAGGTGGTGTGTGACTTGTGCCCTGTCCCTGCCCTGGATGTCACCATCTGCCTGACTGTGAGCTCTATTCACCTGTTGTGCTTTACCATAGAAAGGGAGGTCTCCAAGACCCTCTGTGGTGTGTAGGTGTACAGCTGCTCTGTGCTTTGCAGGTGTGCAGCAGCTCTGTGCTTTACAGGTGTACAGCAGCTCTGTGGTGTGCAGGTGTGCAGCAGCTCTGTGCATTGCAGGTGTGCAGCTGCTCTGTGCTGTGCAGGTGTACAGCTGCTCTGTGCTTTGCAGGTGTGCAGCAGCTCTGTGCTTTACAGGTGTGCAGCAGCTCTCACACCACCAGGCGTGTTTTGAGTCGAGGACGAGCTCTGTATGTCAGTTCACAGACGAGGCCTGGGCAGAGAACCACTGCTGACCCTGAGATCAAGCACCTTTTTTATCCCCTCTACACAGCAGTTTGGTAGGTGGCCCAGAAGAGACCCTTCCTCCTCCACCAAAGGTGGCAGATGCTCAGGGCCAGCAAAAACCACATCACCACCAGCCCTTATTGCAACCACCGTGTTCATAAGTTAACACCAGCTCAACCACCCTCTGAGTTAAGAACCTTCTTCCAATATCCAACCTAAACCTCCCCTGACACCCCTTCAGGCTATTCCCTCAGGTTCTGTCACTGGTCTGAGTACTGTGCCATCTTCTCCACACAACAGTGAGGATTCTTTTCTCCAGTCGTTGTGAAGATGGGACAATACTGAACCCAGCTTTTTTTTTTTTTTTTTTTCCCCAAATATATCTAAGCTGGTCCACAACTTCATATTCATCTGCCTTATTTCTGTAGACTGATCCCCATGTGAGATTTTGGGTGCAGGTGATACTTGGCATGAGAATTGATGGCAGTTTTAGCATTTACAGTATGATTTTAGAATGGGAACTGACAAAAAGGAGATGGATGATTTTATGTCCAGGGACAAAACTTCAGATCCCCCTTGAGAGAGCTTCCACATAGCCACCAAAATCCAGTCCAACTCTCAGAGGTGGAGGAATGTGGCCCTCTCTTTCTCAGTTCATGTCTGAGGAGGAACCTTTCAAACATCCCCCATTCCACTTGCTCCACTGATATGTCAAGTTGGCACCTATGGGACCATAACCTTTACTACACATATTTTTAAGTGATGCAATGCTAACTTTCCACCTTGTCTTCTGATTCTCAGGAAATATCAGCTGGAAATAGAATAATGGAACGCTGTCTACATGAAAATTGTAACTCCACTTGCCCAGAAATTCCTTATCAAGAGAGTCAGACACTTCTGGTTGTTTTTTACAGCATCGTTTTTACTATAGGCCTTCCAGCAAATTGCTTAACTTCTGTGCTTACGTTTGTACAAATCCGAAGGAAAAAAGTAGTTGCCATCTACATTTTCAGTTTATCATTGTGTGATCTGATGTATTTAAGTACCTTGCCTTTGTGGATTATCTATGTGCAAAATGGGCACAATTGGACCATGGGTGACACTGCTTGCAGGATAACAGGATTCATCTTTTTCTGCAATATCTACATCAGCATTCTGCTTTTGTGCTGCATCTCTGTGGATCGTTACATGGCACTGGTGTATCCTCTGCAATCAAGGGGGAGAAGACAACAGAAAATAGCCACCATTATAGTCTGTCTTCTCTTTGCTGTGGTTGCAGGAATCCACACTCCAGTATTTTTTATGGAAGATAAGAAAAACTGTACAGAGGTGAAAACCTGCTTTGAGACAGTGCCCCTTGACATATTATTGGCTTATTTCAGTTTTGCTAGATTCCTGTTTGGATTTGTCGTACCCTTCCTAATCCTGTGTTTTACAAACTGCAAAATTTTCCAAGCTATAAAAAGAAGCAGCAGCTTGACTTGTCGTGAGAAAGCCAAAGTGAAGCATGTGGCTATTGCCGTTATTGTTATTTTCTTGATGTGCTTTGCTCCATACCATGTGGTTCTCTTAATAAGAGCCATATACTTTCTGGTTCATCAGGACTGCCCATGTCCATTTGAAAATAAGATATATTCAGTTTTTACAGTGTTTCTGTGTTTAGGCACTGCAAACAGTGTTGCTGATCCAATCATCTACGTTCTGGTCAGTGAAAACGTCAGAAAAGACTGTTATAGGTGCCTGAGAAGATGGAGAGGGAGACAGAACTCATCCAAGCTAAATTCATCCACTGATCACAATACTGACAACATAAAATTGGAAATGCTGAAAGAATCAGAGGAAGGGGGCCAAAGAAAAAAAAACAAAGAAATAACAGATTCATCTGACATTCAGAAGGCCTGTACCAGTGGCAGAGATCAGGAAAGTGGCAGCTAGCTGGTAGCTGCTGGAACAAATATGAAGTTCCCAATGCCAGCTGCAGGACAGGAGTTTTTACATGCTGACATCATCTTGCACATCCTGCATGGGCCATTAACTCCTTGAGGTCACTATGGGAGCAGTAATTCACATTTCTGTTTGTCTCCTACAATTAACTTTGCCCAGCAGTACCACTGATGAAAATACTGCTTTGCTAAGGATACGTGAAATAAATGAAGTAATTTACTTTGACTCAATTTGGGATCTTAAACTTTTTTTTTTTGTTTTGGACTGACTCTTTCTCTCATATGAAATAAAACCAGTTTTATCTTCTGAGCAAAATTTTAAAAAAGCACTGCAGAGGAGAACAATATACTGTTCTTAATGTTGAATTTTTTGCTTCTTGAGGAGGTACATGTTCCAGTTCTCATACATGTGCTCTGCTGTTAACGTTTGTGGTTAACCAGTGGAAAATATTAAAAATGAGTAAACGTCTTCCTCGTAGTCTAGTATGTAACTTCAGATACATCACATATTCCAGGAGAATTAGATGGCAGAAAAAATGCCTGATAACACAGACCAACAGTATTGCTGCTGCATTAGTCAAGATCCCGCACTGCCCTGAAATTCTTCAAATTACAATTTTAATGCTTGATAGTTTACAATGAGTAAATGTTATTTGTTTTGCATAGACCTAGAATGTACTGAAATATACAGAAAATGTATATATTTCCATGTGGAGTCAGGGACTGCTTTTATGCCATCTCCAAATGTTTGTTGAACTCGTATTTTGTTTCTGACTAAGCTAACCCTTCCCTTTTGTTATTGATCCCACTTCTACTGTGTAGGAGTCTGTAGAAGCTATGGGTAGGCTCACAGATGGTATGGAAGGTTGGCAGCCTGGAGAGCACAGTCCTTCCTCCCCACAGCTGGGAACTCCCTCAAACATCGTGAGAGACGGTCTGAAGTTCCCCTTGTTTGCCTCACGACCGTCCCAAGGACAGACATCAGGACCCTGAGGACCCTGATGGGAATTCTGGCCTGCCTGAAGTGGGTGCATGCCAAAATCCTGAGGCCCCTGAGCAGAGTTCTGGCCTGCCAAGTGATTGTTCACAGCTGTGTCTACAGGGACTGCTTCTAGCAGGGGGAAACGTGCCCTATATGCTTGCACCTGCTTCACAACAATAGCCCAGGAATTTTCCCACCTCTTGGCCAGATGAACCTGCTGGGGCAACTTTGGTAGCTCCCCCATGGAAAATCCTTCTTCTGCTCCACTACCACCATGACAGACGGAGATTGAGACCCCCATAATCGTGATACAGGGGTGCTGGGCTGACTGAAGCAGGATGCCTGCTATGTGTTGCCTGCAGATGTGTTCATGGAGCTAGACTGGTTTCCCATAGAAACCAGTCCTGAAACAATGGGTCCCACTCGCTGCTGATGTTGACTTAACCTGCTGAAAACATGGACTGTCTGTACCCATCTTCAATACCTTTTTCTCCCTCAGAGATTGGTCTCTCCGACGTGACTAGGTGAACTCCATCAACTGGACCACAAGGACTTTCTCTCTCTACGTTTGGTAGCTATACCCTCTCTTTCTCCCTCTCTTTCTCTATTTTTTTCCTTTTTCCTAATTCCTTTAATGCATTTGCTGTAGTCATTCAATAAAAGGTGCATTTATGTTGATTGATATTGCAATCCCCTGTTGTTTTTTTTGCACTCTGAGATCAGCCAATGAACAATCACGACCCCCGTTTTATGAGCAGATTGTGGCAGACATGCTGGGGCAAATTTCACTGTTGCTGCTGCCACTTCTATTATGAATAACTTGTTGATAGTAGTTCCTTGTGCCTTCAAACAAGAATTTAAAAAATAAGAATAATACAAATCTGGCAGTGTTTATCTAAACAACTTCTTCATATTTTTATGGGATTCAACAGACAGATCAGGAAGCAGCTTGAGTACGAGTTTGTAGAGCGTTTCACAGCAACAGTCCTTTTAATCTGTGGTGGTGTATTTCTGTGACATGTTGAAATTGTTATTGACTATGACATTTCTGCATTGAATTAATATTAACCAGTCTTAATATAAATACAATACTTTTTTATTATCTTAAAATTGCCATAGATATTTCTGTGCTTTATTCTTATATATTCTTACGCTTTTGTAAAGAACCATTATGCCAAAGTTATACATCCTCAATTGATTATATTTATTACATATTTCATTTTTTAATTATTTAATGACTCCTCTGGTATTTATATGTGAAATGATTTTGTCCTCAAAAGTAGTCCAATAATACTAAATTGTTTCTTGGAAGAATGTGACTGTTTCTTGGAAGAACGTGAAATTCTGTTGAGGTGCTAATTAAAAAATTCTGGATTTTTATTTTTATATGCATCTCAGAGATCAAATTCTCTAAGGTATCATGGAGAGACCTGCAAGGTGCTGAATATCTGTAACTTTCAATTGCTAAAGAATTCTGCAGCAGCAGCAGAACATGGCTGCTGACAGCCCCTGCCAGCCAGAGCACTGGTGACTCATCTCTGAAGATGCACATGCAAACTGCCCTGACCTCAGGATTTTCATAGTCTGAAATCAAACCTTATTGAATAATAGCAGTGAATTCAGAAGAAACCAGAGGTACAGGCTTCTGAACTGACTGACATGGATGCAGTTAGCTACTGACCTTGATGAATTTAAACATCTCTGATGATTTTCCTCTGATAAAATGTGAGTGTTGAGGGAGGGGATTGTCCTGCTCTGCGCTGAGCTGGTGCGGCCTCACCTCAAGTCCGGTGCAGTTTTAGGAGCCACCATATAAAAATGACATTAAGCTATTAGAGAACAACCAAAGAAGGGCCATGAGGATGAAAGCTCTGGAGGGGAGGATATGAGGAGTGTCTGATGTCACTTGGTCTGTTCAGCTTGGAGACTGAGGGGAGACCTCATCATGGTTTACAGCTTCTTCATGGTGGGAATCAAGGGAGCAGACACTGGTCTCTTCTGGTGACAGGGACAGGGCCTGAGGGATGTCCTGAAGCTGAGTCACAGGAGACTTAGGTCAGATGTTAGGAAAAGGTTCTTCACCCAGAGGGTGGGTGGGCACTGGAACAGGCATCCCAGGGAAATGGTCACACACCAACCCTGAGAGAGTTCAAGAAGCATCTGGACAATGCTCTCAGGTACGTGATGTGATTCTTAGGTGCCCTGCACAGAGTCAGGAGTGGGACTTGATGATCCTTGTCGATCTCTTCCAACTCAGGATATTCTACAATTCTATGAACTAACACTGGAACCCAGTGCCATAGATGCAGGGGGCAGGGATTATAAGGGTCTGCTGCAACAGCTGCAGTTCTGCCTTAGTGAAGCTGCATGCTGTTCTAAATTACTATGTCATTCCGTATCTTCTCTTAATGACAATCCTTGGAGTTTCTCTGTTCAGACACACTCTGAAAAAAAATTTAGAAGTGACAAAGATTTGTGCAGCCTGATCTAACTTAAAATTTTACCTAGATAATCTCCAGAGGTGCTTTCCAAGATAAAATATTCTGTGATAGATTACTGAAGGGGTTAGGGGCCTGGTACCAAGCAATGTATCCACATGGGAAAACTGCGAATGCTGACTTCTTTGGATAAACAGAAAAGCAGCTTTATGGCTGAGTGAGTGCATCAAGAAACATTCCATGATGTTAAAATATCCCATCAGATAAAGTGACTGTTTCTTGTCTGGTAATTCAAGCACACAATCTATTTTTTGTCAGACAGTATCTGACTGTGCCACTCAGGCAAAGGAAAGGTCTCAGCTCTGGCAAAGTGTGAGATACACAGCAAAGAGCAGATCTGAGTGGATTTATAGTGTGGGTCTTTCCACCCTTTCCTCCTGCAGAGACACCACCAGTGAGCCCACAGGGACTGCTTCATGCTGTGAAGAAAGGTTCACCTGCTACATCAGATCTGCAGTTCTCAACACAACCATCTGGATCTGTACCCATAGGGATCTGGCTCCCAACTTCCCCAACTCAGTCCAAGCTATGAGATGAGTTAGAGAGAGTACAGAGCCAAACCAAGGCTGTGCCTCCCAATCTGGCCTTTAGATGGCCAGGTCTCCACACAAAAGTTGCAGAGCAGGTAAGCTGCTCACTAGTGTAAGGGGTGGGATTACAAAATTTCACTCTTTTATACTCAGCATTTACTCAGGTATAACTTCCATCATTTGACTAAAAGAAGAGTGGGCTACAGTATAAATAATACATTATTTTATTTTTACATGTGTCTCAGACACTTATAATGTACCTGGGAGATAAGCTCATTGCTGATTATTTGAAGTATGACTATAAAGCACAAAGTGAATAATTTCTGGCTATGAACTAGAGCTGGCCAGACTAGTTTTTGTAGACAATATATGTGATTTGTTTGCTTATTCATCAATTTTAAGTTATATCTGAAGACTGCATTTTTTTTAAGTAAATGTTTAGGGTAACTCACTTATAAAACTTTATTCCTAACTAAGAAATGCTTTCATGTTCTGTATTAAATTTTGCCTCAAGAGGATTGCTACAATTTTACTAAAAAGCTGGCAAAACCCCACAGGAATGAACTCAGACACTCCACGTGTGACAAGTTTCTTCTGCAGTTGGTCACCTTGTGACTGTACATGTACAGACATGTCAAATTTCTGCTGGGTAGTGAGTTATGAAATCTAACTCAGAACCAGGCTTTCAGAAATATCCACAACTTAATGGCTTCTCTTACTGAGCTTATTCTACAGCTTACACTGTGGGACTGGTCTTCGAGGAAACTTCCTCTGTACAGTGAAATGATGCCAAAGTTCCCTGACAGTTTGGAATGCCCATCTCATTTTCAAACGAGCACAAACTAACAGTAGCAAATAAGAGTGGGGGAACTGCATCAAAGAGATGCAATAATTTTTTTACCTCTCTGGCATGCAGGGAAGCATAGAGGTGCCAGCTGGGATCTCCCAGCATGTCTTCTGCAGCCGGGTCTAGAGGATGTGATACCAGCTCTCTCCATCTCTTCAGTGCCTGCTGGAAGTGGGTGGTTTGCATGGCACTCTCCCTCCTTCCCTGCAAAATGAACCTCTGCACAGGAGAGGGCGCTTCTGCTTGCAGCAGGGATGCAGCACGGCCTCAAAGTGACAAGAATGTGAAGCACAAAAAGAGAAATGTTATCCCAAACTGGACTAACACTAATACCCTGGTAATGGCTATTAGTAGCTGCCATCATGAGCTGTTGGTAAGAAAGGGTAGGGCTCTGAACTCATTATGTCTAATCTGTAATTCACATCACTGATAACTTCTAGGACTTTACTCTCTTACTCTATCCTGTAAGAAATGCTCAGAGGTAATGAAGCAAAAACCAGCCTTTCAGACAGAAACTCTGCTGAGGACATATGATAAGATATGGTAAAAATTTACAAAACATCACATGAATATTGTCTACAAGAGCAACCTCTCACTGCACCATGAAATGATCCATCCAGTTTGGTAGTCTCTGTCAGTGACAGGGCCTGTGCATTTCAGCCCATGATCACAGAGCATCCTTCTATGTTCAAAGGTCTGTCTTGAAATATTTTCTTCAGGGCGATGAAGAATGAAAGACAAGAGAGACACTGTGGGAAAAGGGTGCTGTATGATATACAAAGTCCTTAAAAACCTTGTAAACCTTAAGTCACAGATGTTCTGAACAAATATGCAAATATCCATGTTC